GACATAAGATTATAAGCACTAAGAGAGAGTTATAACAGTGGCAACAAGAAATGAAAACTCAGTGTAGGAAAAAAAGTACTTTTTGCTTCAATGTACACAACAGTGATGCTGAGAAGTTAGAACAACATTAGTTTAAGTTTTTTTCTTTGGGGTGTATGTAATAGAAAAAATAAAGAGAAAGAAGGAAAAAAAAAACATTCTTTAAATATGGAATTAACCCAAATGGTAAAAATACGACAGCAGCAACAATGGCAGTTGTTGAAACTCCAGAAACAACAAAATTTAATTGAAATAATATGGAAGAACACAGAAATTTGCCAAGTTCTTTTGCTCCTGATGTTGTAGCAAATGCCATAACTGAATTCACATACAATTCAGATGATGGAATTATCTTTTCTGTTTATTTTAGAAGATACAAGCAAATTTTCAGAGAAGAATGCAGTGACTGGGAAGACAAGAAAAAAATGGACTTTTGTTGAGAAAGTTATATTAGTAGAACATGAAAAATACTGTTATTTTGTACTACTGAAATAAAAACAGGAGAAATTTGCTTTGGAGAAACTAAATGTTCTGATTAAAATTTTTAGCAAGAAAAGTTTGTTTTTCAATACTCGTTAAAAGTGTATGAATCTGACGAAAAAAGAAGACAAAGATTTTGTCACATATACTGGAATCATTAACAAGGAGTGTGAAAAATTCAAATTAAACAAACTGACTCTGGACATGTTTAAAGGGTTGATTTTCATTTAAGGGTTAACTGTGAAAAAACATGGAAATATGTTCTAGAATTCTAACAAAACTTGGAACAGAATCAAGGACTAATAGAACAAGAACTATTGAACAAATGTTAGAGAATCATAATTACAGAAAACCATTGATTTTCACATACAAAAATTTTCTTTGATGTAAAAATGCAAGTAGACACTGGTAATGATATCACAATAATCAATGAAGCCACATAGAAAGCAAACAGAAAACCTATATTAAAAAGAACTTGGAAAAATCATGCATGGTATGTTGGGCAAGAAATTATTTTTTATTGGCTAAATGACTTGTAACATTTCATAAGAAGTGTGTAAGGCTTATGTGTTAAAAAATACTAGAAACTTATTCAGTACTGACTGGATGAAATTATTTCAGTTGCGGTAGTTACCTATAAATATTTATTGCAAAAATATCAGTGGACAAGTTAACAGTGTAAAAATTTAAAGGAAGAATTGAAAAAATATTTTCCAGATTTTCTGCAGGATGAGTTGTGTTCTAAAGTCAAAGTGAAATTTCAAGTGAAAAAAAAATGTCTTGATCCATTTTGGTTCAGTATACATAGCTTCTCATAAAAAATTTCATCCTTGAAATTCCCAGATGTTCACTATGAAATTAATATCCACTTTTGTAATATGATAGGTATTATTATTCTTTGTGCAAACATCTGTACTCAAGTCACCTAGCGAGTAAGCATTTAATTCTGGATTGCATTCTAAAAATCGTCTTACTTTCTTTTAGTCATTTTTTTTATTTTCAAAATAAACATGTCTTGTCCGACTTTTACTTTTATTTCTTCCTGGGTAATTGGTAGTTTGCATACTACATTACATAATATATTTTTAATTCCAACAAATTTTGTGGGTGTTAGTACATTAAAAATATCATACAGTACTTGCATAAGTTCTTCCTTTCTTGAGTAAAACTTTGCTTTAACTGATTCCAATGTCTTTTGTGTTCCCATTTTTTTTTTTTTTTTTCATTTCACCATATATCATCATTTTTCCAATTCGTGGCTTTATTACACTGTCTTCTCAATTTTCTTTTCCATTTTCATATTCACTAAAAAACACTTTTTTGCCAATTTTGAAAAATTTTGTCCTTTTTATCATCCGTTCTTATTCTTTTTTTTGTACTGGTAACAACTTGTCGAACACCAATTTAATTTTCATTGCAAACATCAATTCTGCTGGTGACATGCTTTATCGGCATATTAACATTCACTTTTATCTGGTATACTCTTAAGAATTTTTCTAGTACTTTGTTCAATTTTCCATTACCTGCTTTTTTCAAAGTACCCACAAACTGTTCAGCTTGCCCACTTGACCTTGGGTGATACAGTTGGCTAGTAATATGTTCAATCGAGAACATTTTACAAAATTCTTTAAATTCATAAGCCTTGAATTGTGTACCGTTATCCAAAACTATAGCATACGGAATGCCATATCTTGCAAACTGTTCACATTAAAAATTCACTGTTGATTTTTTGCACTTACAAATTTCAAGCCATTATGTGCAGTCTTGACCACAGTGTATGTCTTTGGCCAAGGTTTTAATTTCATGGTAGGTGATTTTGCTGCCAGAGCATAACCTCGGCATTTTTTTTTTTTTTCATTTCAGCCCCATGCCACTGTTTATTCAAAAGAATAATTGAACAATTCTGGTTTTTATGTATGTAAATAAACATTTTGCCTTTTAGATTTATTATTTATATAATTTATAAATATTAATAATAATAATTTCTAAAAATGTTTTTTATTCAACAAATAGTAAAAAGTATTCTAAAATTCATTAAATTTGCCACTGTTTATTTGTAAAATAATTGAATGACATTCAGTTTAAAATGGAAACACTATAAAAAAAAAAAATTCTTTTAGCTGTTTTCTAACACCATTACATAGATTTTAATTTACAAATATGTTTTCTTATATGAAGAGCATAGAAATAAATTGTTTATCAAAACATTTCTTGGAATATAATGAATCAGAATATATAAAACTTTAAAAAGGTCTAAAGATTTGAGTTTTGGTGTTTAAACAGAAAACACGCACAAAAGATTCTTTTCTTTATATATACCAGTATATTTTTTTTGCTATCTCTTCTAATGTTATTACATATTTTAATTTACATATATCTTTGCTTATATAAAGAGTACAGAAATAATTTGTTTCTCCAAACCTTCCTTGGAACATACTAAATCAGAATTTCATCCAGCTCCAGGTCAAAGCATAGCATCCTTACTAGTCTTACCATAATTTACCAGATATATTTTTTGTATGTCATTCTATAATTCAAGCACAGCTTGAATTGTGGCCATCAAATTTTCTGTTTTTAGGAGATTTTGAAGCTCAGAATAAGAGTAGAAGTCAGAATACACAGCTTGGAATTTGTAAAAACAACCTGCAGAGGTCAGATTAATTCTTTCTTTCCTTCGCTTTTTTTTTTTAAATTCTGTGCAATGAAGGATTAAAAAAAAAAAAAAAAAAAAACTGTATTAACAGAAAAACAAAAAAATTGTAATAAAATTACACAAGATGGTGCAAGCCACAGCCGAATGAATTAAATATAGACTTGACCAGAGGCTTGAAATCAAAGACAAAAGAAACATGAAGCATATGTTTCTGTACAATAATGTACAGTAAAATAAATTAGGTAGAGGTAATACAGGTAGATTAGAACATTGTTTATACAGCAGCTAAAGTCAGTACTGTTTCAAATGTCACTATTAGAAATGCAAAAACTAAAAAAAAAAAAAAAAAAAAAAAAAAAAAAAAAAAGAAATTAAAGAGGGGAAAAAAAAAAAAAGGAAATTAAAGAGGATGAAAAAAAAAAGAAGGAAATTAAAGAGGAGGAAAAAAAGAAAGAAATTAAAGAGGAGGAAAAAAAAATACTTTTTAAATACAGTATGAGAAACTACAAAAAAAAATTAAGAAAAAAAGAATAAGAGAATAATGAAGTAAAATATTCCAAAAGAATAAAATAAGCGGATAATGAACTAAAATAAAAAAAATTAAAAAAACTAAAATTACTGACTCATTCATGAGACACTTGCAATTAAATGTAAGAAATTAGATTAGAGTAATTCTCCTTTCCAAAATTATTCTATGGCAGTGCTGCACTGACAAGTTTTAGACTTTTAACAGATAACTAATCACACCTGCCTAATTTAACATGACAGGCAAGGTTTGCATTCAGTGACAAATAACTGTCAATGACTTGCCTAATAATAACTGGAATACAATTGCTATAAGAAAGAGCCTACAAAAAAAAAAAAAAAAAAAAAAATTAACTGCTACAAAGCGGTGGTGAGCAAGTATGACTTGTCAGCCACAGTACCTTGATGTCTGGAAGTTGTGGCATTATTTTAGACAAAACCAAGTGTTTTTAAACTCTTTCCTCCTGTGTATACTTTTCCTGACTGTCTTCCTTACTTAGCATACGCCATGAAATCATATTGTATTGCATGTCATTTCTGGATTGTAGTGATTTATTGGTAATTCCACAGTAAGAACCCCAATGCTGCATCATCAGACACAATCAATGACAGGAAATTTCCTTCCATTGAACATGTTTCCCTTGGCGGTAGAAAACATAGTAGGTACTGTTTTTTGAAGAGAGTACAAATTTCAACAGGTCAGCCAGCTATCCATCCTCTCCATATAGTGGCTTGCCTTTCTGCTGAAACTACTGGTGTGCAAAGGATTCTGGGAGAGGAAGGCATCAAAGCTCCTAACTTCTTTACTGCTGCAAGGGAACTGCTGTTTTTTGCACATTTTCCAGTCTAAAATCAAAATGGGGGCACTGTGATCTACTTTGCATTAGATTCAAAAAGGTCAGATGAAGGTCTGTTTTGCACAAGTCTCAAAAAAAAAAAAAAAAAAAAAAAAAAAAAAAATGCAGAAAAGGCTAGGCTTTGTGTGATCCTCAAAAAGGCAAATAAGGGTCTGTTTTTCAAAGGAGCTAAAAATTGGAGACATAAGTAAACAGGTGTCCCTTTTGTTCCAAAGATGCATTTGGTATATTCTTGACCCCAACCAACAAGAAAATTCATCATTATGCTTCAAAACTTTTTTTTTTTCATATTTACAGAACACTTATAAATATCCTGCAGAATAATAGCTAAAGTCCTTGACAATTAACCAGCAACAAGTTAAAAACTTTTACAACCATTTGCACAATAAGAACACAGTTTCATATCATTTCTTTATATTAATAAGGTAAATTTTTAAGCATCTTACCCTTTCAAGTCTACTTGGCTGATTACAAGTAACAGACACATATCGGCTGTGTTTTAAAAGCTGAATACTGGTAGGGAGTAAGCAAGTTTTTTTGCATAGCTGTAAAGCTTGCAAGATGGTCATGTTGCAGTTACAACTTTGATTTGTTTAAGTTGGAGATACCTGAAACAGAAGAAACAAAGAATAATTGAAATTTGCAAACTGATTTTATTATAAGAGTTTGGAATTTATTCCACAAGAATAATAAGGCAGAATTCTTCACTAAGTTCATCTTTATTGCAATTGGTTTGAGATCCTTTTTACAGATACCATATTAGAAACAAAGCAATTTGTTATTGAATGTACTGAGAAAGAGGGGTGTTTTTTTTGGAGGGGGGTTACTATTGTTGACCAAAAGCCCCAAGAACTACTCAAGATAGAGTGTTATGAAACAAGGTTGTTGTAAGTGCACACAGGGTAAGAGAAAGAAGTACATATTATGAGGATATGTAGGATAGATAATGATTTAGCCTAAATTTGAAGAGGTTGATTGTAGTGATCAAGGAACCATCCTCTTGGGAGCCCATTCCACAATGAAACAGAACTAGGGAAGAATCTATCCAAATGGAACTTCCTCCTCACTAATGGAATATGAAGAGAATGAGGAGGAGTTGAGTGTGTATGTGGGATGGCAGGTCCTAGGTGTAATGGTCTGGACTGGTTGAATGAAGGAATGTAATTTGCCTGAACATCTGCCATGAAACCAGTGATAGAGCAGCAAAAGTCTAGCAAAGTTTTGTCTGTAAGAAAAGAGTTGTCAGGTGGGGAACAATTCATCACAAATAAATGCCAATCTGGTCTGAAAGAATGATCCAATTGGTCAAATGTATGTACCCATAATGCTCAGTTGATAAAGCTATTTATAAAAGGCAGTCAGCCCAGAGGCAGCGAGTTAGGCCAGTCAATCCTTGTCAAATCAAGATTCTCATATGGATATCATGCATGACACCAAACCTATTCAGAAATATCTAAATTCTCAGCGGCTTTCTCAGATTAACAATTAGAAATGGCTTTGAGCAAGTGAAGAGTGTACGACCATTCTTCTTCAAGCCTTGTAGACTGGCACCACAAAATCACAAAGAACTATATCAAAAACAGAAACTACATCACTTGATGATGACCAACAGCAGCAACAACTAAAATGGATAGCATACATAATCAAAGAGAAAATAATAATCAAGATGTCGATGCTCCACACTACTTCAAACAAAAGGCAAGGAAGGAAACCCTTATCAATAACGGAAAGGGTGATAACAGTAAATGGACTTGGGAAAACAAAAATTTCTCATGAGAATAGTTAAGTATAAGATTTTATAAATTTCATCCAACTGCTCGGTCAATAAATGCCAAATGTTTCCTTATAAGGAAACAGCTAATATTACTGTCATAATTACTTTTATCTTCTATCTCCCTTCTAACTCCCACATTTATGGTCACAAAGGTTCAAATCTGCCTCATTTTGTTCCAACCCACATGAAATCATCAACATGTTGAAAACCATATTGCCAGTAGAACAAGGCTGGAGATATTTGCAAATTGTTTACATCCAAGTTTATCTAATTCCTCACATACACTAAGATATCAGCCTCTAGATGCATCATTTAATGAACATGTCTCTTTAGAAGCCACAATTTACCAGTACTACTGACTTCAGAGAATAATTTCAGATACACTCTTCAATTGAACATATTTCCTTGAAGAAAAGATGCTCTTACATCAATAGTCCTACATTCACAGTTAGGTGTCAAGGCTATTGCCAAAAAGACATTCAAATTTCTTTATCTTTCAGAAGAGTCACACTGTATATTTTCATCTTCAAATCCACATGCCAGTTTTATGGGGGTGAATGCTGGATAATCTCCTCGCAGATGAAGAGACTTCAAGCAACAGAAATGTGATTCTACAGAAGGATGCTGAGGATACCATGGACTGAACATATGAGCAACAACAAAGTTTTACAGAAAATGAAGACAAAAAGAACACTTAAACTTAACACCAGAAAGAGGCAGTTGAAATTTCTAGGACACATAAGTAGCAGAATAAATTTTCCATGATCACAGAATTGCGGAATCATTAATCTTAAACGGAATCTAGGTTTTTAATGTAATTTTCAATAATAAATAAATTATTAGATTTTTTTTAATTCTTTCAAAACTAAGTAAATAACTGTCTCTCTGATTTTGTTAAACATTTTAATATAACAATAACGTAACATAGTTATTTCCTTAAAATTTGTTTTAACAAATTTTTGTAGGTATTTTCCTTATAAAACCCAAAAAATAATTAAGAACAAAAATGTTTACATAAAGAAAAGTGGGTTTTCAATTTTTTGAGAATATGTTGGCTAATCTATTTTTAAATATTTCATAACTTTTCTAAGAAAGTGTATGTTACAAATGAGATGCAAGTCAGAAGGTCACAGCTCAGTCATGATCACCAAAATCCATTGCTAAAGTGGAAATGGAAGACAGACACTAATTGATGTCAAAATTGGAGAGAGAGATAGAGAGACAAAGATCATACCAATAAGTTTAAGAAATTCATTTCCTCTAGACCTCACACAATTTATAAGTAAAAGATTCTAAACAACTTGTAAGCTTGTTTTATGATTATGCAAAAGTAAATTCTATCACATTCCTACCATACTTTTTAGACAAAGAAAAAACAATTCTCCAAAAACACCATTCTATGAAATGACTGGCTTGTCTATGCTTATCATCACATGGCAATTGTTAATAATTGCATCATCTTCAATGCTTCACCATTGTAGGCCCTTTAAATTAAACAAAAAAATCCTTTAATAACATTAACTGTCAATGATTATTTTTTTAATATTTGTATTTTGTAATCTAAACTAGTTGTATGGATAAACAAGTTGTCAAGATGACTGAATCAAATCAATATAGTGAATCAACCTCAAAATTTGAGCTTGACCCTCTCAAAAAAAAAAAAAAAAATTGTGCTACAGCCAAAGTAGAGCATTTTCCTGATGACTTATGTAGAAGAAAATCTTGTTTTGCAAATTCTGTCAACATTTTTAGAGTTGACACAATCAAAGATCACATCAAATCAAAAAGTCATTTGACAACTGAAACAGAAAACAATCACAACTTTGTTGAAGAGTAAAGAGGTAAGAGATGATATTTTGTAAATATGGACTTTGTCTGACATTCCCCTATGCAAAATTGACAAAATGAGGCCATTCATATTAAAACACTGCAAAGAAGGTGGTGCTATTCCAAGTGCCAATTCTGTTAGGCAACTTTATCTAACAAAATTGTTTGCTTGTCACTTTGCTGCTCTCAAAGCCAAGCTTGCTAATCAGTCAGCATTATAACAGATGGAACAACTGTCATGACCACAGCATTTTGAATGTAATTGCAGGCATTCGTGAGGAGTCATTTCTCATTGATGTTGCAACCTTGTGAGAATGCAATCCTCAAACTAAGTCAGGCATGAATTCAAGCTGTAACTCATGTGGATATTGCATTTGAGGATATTATTGCCTTTGTAACAGATTTTGCAGCCTATTGCAAAAAAAGCTCATAAGGAAGTGTTGTCAAATGTCTTAACAGTAGCCATGGGTTGTGCTTAGCACATATTTTAAGTCTTGAAGTATTTCCACACTGGCCAGCACATTACCCAGCTAACCACTTTCATCAAGTCAGCCTTTTTTAAAAAGCCTAGTCAGAAAAAGCAATACTTAAAATGGCTTGAAGGTTCCTTGCCTAAAGAAACAAGTGAAACTACTGCCTGTACCACTGGCAGCTAAATGGAATTCCTGGTTTAATGCGACCAAATATCACGCATCCTTTGTACAGTTTTATGAAAGTTTCTTTAAGCAAGAAAAGAGCTATGACCTTGCTGTAGATAGGATACTAGAATTAGTAGAGGATGGTCGACTAAATCAGCATTTTATAAATGAAAACTGCACTCATTTAATAACAGCTTTCACAAACTTAAAAGAAACTAAGTCTCCGCTTGCATGTGTTGTATATAATATGATGGAGGATTTAAAATAGTATTTGCATACTGGTACATCAAATTCAGCCTTTGGCCTAGAAACTGATTGTCTTCTGTCTGAACTAAAAAAAAAAAACACAGAGAGAGAGAGAGTTATCTCAAATTTCCAAAATATTTTCAGCACATCTTTTTCGAAACTGAATAAATACCTGGATACCTACCCTGTGTATAACTTTTACAAGGCTGCTCACCTGTTTGATCCTAGACAGCTACCCTGTACAGGCCATAATTTAGACAGTTTTGTAGCCATCAAGGACTTGCAATGTACTTCAACTGATCTTGAAGGATTCCAAATGAATTACCAAAATGATTTACCAAATCCTTTTAATATCCCATCATTTTGGAATGCAAATAAGAGCAGATTTCCTCTTGTGGAACAGATTGCCAATAATGTCATATGGATGCCTGTTACCAGCATAGATGTGGAACATTCATTTTGTCACTTATATATTGTTGGCTGTATAAAGAAAAAATGCTCTATCAAATATACTAGCATAAATGGTCTTACCACATGTTTTGGTTTTAAATGTGAGCGCTCTATATTTGTGTTGGTTTTAATTTGATGGGGGGGGATCAGCCCTTAATGAGTTTGGGGTTATTAAATGCATAATAAAAATCTTTCAGACATTCAGGATTACTCCATAATACTCATGATAAATATTTCACCCTATAAATTAAAAATGATTTACAAGGATTTTCAAATCCATCAGGTTAACAAGAAAAATCAGAATGGAACTGGCTTAAGACTAATTTCAAAAGCCAGGCAGGAGCAAAGAAAGGAAAAAAAGAAGGGCAGAGTCTCGTCTCAGGAGGTAGACAGACCTGATCTGGATTATGCGGGGTCTACAGAGATTTTTTGGCCAAGCCTACAGGCTTGGAAACCCCCACATAAAATTCAGACTTGTGCCACATGAAATGTCCAGCTGGCAACATTATTTTTTCAAAAACGTATTATCAGAGGCCTTGCTGTTAAACATAGTTTGTCGTCATACCCGGGACACAATGTGGTTCTGGCGTCTCATGATATCATAAGCAATCAATCATAATATCTTACTCCCAAT